GGTTGAGGATGTGGCTGACAAGGGTTGGCGGGTGGCTGTTGGTAGGGCGGTGATGGCGGAGATGCATGGTGGAAAGCTGAGCTGAACAGAGGGTAAACAAGGGGTTGGTGATGATGGTTGATGGGGTAGTGGAGCGCCAATTTGCTGTGGGAAGAACTGAAGAGCTGGGGAGGCCGGAAAGTAGGATAGTGACGACGGTGGGGGAATGTGCAGACACTCAAGAGAGTGGGGTGGTGGTGGCGAGGGCAGTGGAGGCATGGGCTGGCGTGGAGGAGACGCCGCTGGCTGTCGGCTGAAAAACCACACGCGACTCAGTGAAGTTAAGCGCCCATGCTCCAGGGTCGGCCAGGGCGTAAGGTGGTGGAACGCTGGGGCGCTGCTCCACGGCATCGACACGCTGGACGAGGTCCACCATGAAGGCATGATCGGTGGTCCGTTGCGCCACCACCTCCTTCAGCTAGGTCGCTAGCTCCTTGAGCACAAGGTTGATTCTGCCGCCATCAACTTTGTCATCGTCCACCATCGTAGATGACACAGATACCAGATGGAACAAACTCTACTTACTCTAGGCCTAATAGATAGTAATACTCTGAATTCTGATGCTTTCACTGATCATGGGAGAAGCCCATTATATAGGCGGAATAGCTTGGCTGTCAAGCCGACTCAAAGGAAATACAATTTGGACTCTGAAACGGATTCTAATCTGGACTCCACCCCTAATTGCAGTAAAGGACAGTAGAGGAATCCTAGCCACTTTGGGCTGGACCAAGGGTGGTGTGGCCAGGGCTGGGGCCCTCTGACCATATGTGGTCCCAATCTCCACAGCTTGTTGCTTATCAGTGTAGAGAAATTAACATGTTTTTCCCAATGCATGAATGATCAACAAAATAATGAACTAGTATTCAGCTATTTACTCAATGCCAATGAACAAACCTTTGACAGGGTGATGACTTTCCCAGGTGGGGAGGCTCTTGATACTTTTCTGTTTGGATCAGAGAGTATATAACGGTATCCACCGACATGATAGGCATTTTCTCCTCCCCATCCTCGTGATAATTTTTGTTCAACAGTGACAATGTTCTGTGAGGCCTGCAATTTTATCAAATTAAAATTATTGAGCATGCTTTCATGATGTGCAAATATTCATCATAAACAGTACCAAGAAGGGCATGCCAATATTTTGTACACAAGCAAGTATTTAGGTCAATCCTGAATCAGGAAACTAAAAAAAGGAAGAAAATTATGCAAAGAGCACACACATTTTCAAGAAGATGCCTCTTCACATGAGCAATACCCTCTTCTCCATTTATCAGTGAGGAAGCTGGAATCACTAGCAAGATAGTAAGGTTCTTATGCTGATAAACACATAAATACATGCGCTCCTCTGCCTGATGGAACCACAGTATTGGATTCAATGGTACAGCACCACGAATTTCTGTAGTTACAAAGTCAGCAGCAACAAAACCATCTTTTCCCTTGGATAATTTCTCACGCTGAAGAGGCCTGAAATTATGGTGCATCTGATTTTGTCCACCAGGAGAAGTGTCACGAGATCGGCTACTGTACCTTTCTGCTGAAGCTGCTCCATTTGCCGAACTTAAAGTGGTGTCAGCATTAACATAACCCCCTTTCCGCAAATAGGACCATGAATTCCCGTTGGAAGATAAAGCACTAGGAGTCAACCGCAGGATTGCGTAAGTGTATAGGTTCAATGTATCATCCTGAAACAGTAACAAAGAACTTAGAATCTTTAACAACAGGCAAACCACATGCCATGAATCAGAAAAGGAAAAGGAAAATCCAACAGAAGTAATGATTGCAGGGGATCATACCATGGGAAGTGTGGTAGACACCAAGAGGTCCTCAAATAATACAATTGATTGGCAGATTACGTTTCGAAGACATGACCCAAGAACTGTGGTGAGTGACTGAAATACTAAAACATCAATGGTTGAAACAGATGGATGGAACTATTACAATCAAAATGATTCTAGATAATACAGCAACACAAAACATGTATACATTACTTCTGCAGATTAATCTAAAAGTGTAATGTGGTATTTGGATTGGTTCCAAAGAAAAATAAAAACAAAGGAAGGTTGCAGCATACTTATCAAGAACGACTTCCCCTGTCCTACCAGCCTAAAATGAAACAAACCATTTTTCACAGATCCAAAAATAATACTATATGAGATATTTTAGCTAATTGCGTAGAACATAATCTATGAAATATTCCCTCTGTTTTGGTGAAGCTGAACACTGTGTGCCTTCAACACAATCTCTTGGTTGCATATTGGCCTCGGGTGACTTGCTCTGCCTTCTTTGGTCTACTTCGAACTCCTGTGTTCTTGTCAACGACGTGGCAGGAGAGGAAGTCCAACATCACCGAGGCATTCACCAAGGCGACCATTTGTCGCTGATGGTATGCGTCATAGCCATGGGGGTTCTCCATCGTTTGGTCGACGCCGCTACCAACAATGGTTTGCTTGCGGAGCTCCATGGCCGCTAAGGTGCCAGACGAGCATCGCTATATGCTGATGATGCCGTGATTTTCCTCCGGGCACGTCAAGACGACTACACAATCATATGGCAACTTACTTAGGTGTTTCGCAAGACGCCTGACCTGCATACCAGTATCTGAAAAGTTCAACAACTCCCATCCGTTGCGGAGAGGCTGAGTAGTAGAGCCCTCCATTAGGGTATCCCGGCAAGGTGAGTATATCGGAGGAGAAACAGGAGATAGATTTACCCAAGTTCAGGCCCTCCTTATGAGGTACAACCCTACTCCTGCTCATGTTGTATATTGCGATTGGGGTGTACAAAGTACAAGGTATTATCCAGGGATTGTATGTTGTCTATCGACCAGCTCGGTCCCGGCTTACATAAGTTACCAGGGTTCCTAGGGTTACATGATCCTAGTCGGCTATGTCAGTGGAGGGGAGTCCTCCGCAGATCTGGCTTCGTTGTCTTGAACGGCATGGCTTCTCGATCTCATAGTTTTGACTTCTGGTTGTGTTGGCCAGTGCATGAAGCTTACCATGGTTACCAGGGCCTAAGGTCTTGAGTTCAAGTCCTGACTTTCGCACTTTATCCAAAATTTGTTGCTGGCCCCCTCTGTATTCGCGTATACGCCTCGTAAGCCATACCTCTAAGTCTATTCACGTGTTGACTTCCCGCGTCACACGTGAGGGGGTGTTCAAGTGTATATGTGGATTGTCTAGCCCTTTCCATCAGTTCGGAACTTTGGTTGCGTTGGCTAGTGCATGAAGCTTAACATGGTATACATGGTATCAGGGCCCAAGGTCTTGAGTTCAAGTCCTGACTTCTACAATTTGCCTAAGGTCTTGAGTTCAAGTCCTGACTTCTACAATTTATCCAAAAATTGTTGATGCCCCCCTCTATGCCCACGTATAGGCCTCTTGAGCCATACCATTGAGTCTATTCACGTGTTGACTTCCCACGTCACACATGAGAGGGGGTGTTGAAGTGTACATGTGGATTACCTAGCCCTTTCCATAAGTTCGGACTGATAGGTGAACTGGTTAGGTGCATACAACTTGCAACCTAGAGGTTCAAGGTTCAAAACCCAGTAAATGCAATAAATAGTTGCGGTCTGCCCCGCTTCCGCTCCCCACGTCTTAACTCCAAAGGTGCATAGACATGAGGGAGAATGTTGGAGTATACTATCCAGCCCTCTCATACAGTCCGGACTTTTGGTTGCGTTGGCTAGTACACGAAGCTTAACACCCGAATCTTTCTTCTACAGGGTCGATGGGTTGGCATGATGGCCCAGGCAGAAACCGGCCTTGGGCCAGCCTACTTGGGCCAACAACCAGGCACCCCTGGGCCGTAACACCGTCAATTTAGCTAGCCCAATCAAGGATTTTGCTATCTACTACTTAGGCATACCTCTGCCCATTTGGAAGCTATGTTGGACTGATTTTCAGCCCATTCAGACAAGCTGGACAATAAGCTCGTGCATTGTCGCGAGCATGATTCCGAAGGGTGGCCGCCTAATTCTTATTAAGGTTGTCCTCACTGCCGCGCCCATTCACACGATGTTGGCCACCGAGCTGCCGAAGCGGGTGCATGAGGCCATTGTGGGACAACAACAATCTTTTTTCTGGGGTGGCCAACGGGATTCCAATGGTGTCAACTGCTTGGTGGCATGGCGTGATGTTTGCCGGCCCATCAAACTAGGCAGGTTACGCATCAAGGACATCATGAAGATGGGTTGCGCATTGAGGGCCAGCTGGCCTTGGTTGCGCCGCGTCGATCCCACCAGGCCATGGGCAATTTTTCCTCTAAAGATAAATCACAAAATTGCGAGCATGGTTCATGCAGCTACGAAGGTCATTCTTGGCGAGGCCCGGCATGCTAAATTCCGGACGGATCACTAGATCGATGGTAATCCATCAGTGATCTTTGCGCCCGCAGTGCTTGTGGCGGTCAATCCTAGAGCTTTGAAGGTGCACTCTGTGCGCAGCTTTGATGGATCAGAGGTGGATTCACGACATTACTGCGGTTTCAAACGTGCAAGGGGTCATTGAGTTTCTCCATCAGCAGAAATAATGAATACCCAAACAATGGTCGTTGATGGAGATGATACCGTCACCTGGATTTTCTCCGAATCAGGCACATACTCTGCAAAATCTGCCTACAATCTCTTGTTCGAGGGATCTAGTCAATACCCACTATGGCAGCATACTGGGAGGCTTGGGCACTTAACAAGTGTAAGACCTTTGTCTGGCTAGCAGCGGCAGGCCACTGCTGGACGGCTGATCATCTCAAGCGGCAGGGCTTGCCCAACCAACACCTCTACCCGCTTTGTGATCAAGCCAACAAGTCCATCTCCCACATGTTCACCAGCTGCGCCTTCTTCAGAGAAGTGTAGCATGATGTGCTGTCCGCATGTACGCTACAGCATCTTAATCCACAGGCCCGATGACATTTTCTATGCATGGTTCGACACGGCTGCCAAACGCGCCAGAGCTGGCATGATGAAGGGGGCAAATCTCTGATTATCCTGAACCTTCGGCGTTTATGGAAGCGCCGCAATGATTGCTTGTTCAATGCTGCCAACCCTGGCTGCACTGACCTGGTTGGCTCCATCCTTTGTGTTCGCCGTTGCGAAAGAACTCGGGCAATTGCCGCTTCATGCACGACCTCCTGAACTCTCGCCACAGTTCAGTCTCTGCATTTTCTGTCATTCATTTTTTGGCTCTTTGAGCCCCTGCTGTTCTTTGCGTCTTCTTGACGCTTTCTTCTAATATACAAAGATGCGCACTTAGGTGTGTTTTTGAGAAAAAAATAATCTATGAAGTATGAAAGAACACTAGGTTAGCTTTTCAGTAAAACAATTTTTGAAATATGGAACATGATAAGATTTCACCAAAGAAAAGCAAGTCTGACTACAGATAAAAGTTAATTCCGTTGAGTTAATCCAAGTTGTGACTAGTGAACACTAACCAGTAACCCGTGCAGCCGTGCCTTGCCACCGGACTGGATACCCATTAATGTCAGATATAGGTGCTTACTGCTTAGTAGACGGTGCACAATCTATCCTAGAATCCTCAATAGTGGCCTCATACCCTGACTTGAGGTTTGCAAATCAGACTAACAATATAATATGGGCAGCAAATTGCATGGAATCATGCTATATGGACGACAACAGACGGACGATTCATGCACGACGATGTAAATCCAGCCGCACATGCAGTCGACTTAAAGGGCAACAGCCGCTCAATTTCATGGTCGTGCGAAAATCGGTTGCACTTGTCGTCTGTGGAGCAGTTCCGAATTGCATGCAACAAGCATGCCCCTTTTTTCCATACCAAAAAAAGGCTAAATAGGGGGCTTAGCATCGTGCAAACTGATTTCAACTTACAAAGTACCGAGGGAGTAGGAGACAAAAATCAGATCTACTGAAAAATACAGTTGAGATGGTACTGCTTTAACGAAAAGACAAACACATTAGATTTCATAACTATACAACCTACCTGAACTTCAAGTGCCACTTCTCGTGAGACTGTTAGCATTTGGACTGTTCCCCGCTCCGTTAGGCTATCACGGTAGGTTGGCAGTTGTAGCTTTTTGCCAACACTAAAATCTGCTCCAGGACATACAGTAGCAGATAAAGATGGAATTAGTTTAGCTAATAAATTCACAAATACCTTCATAGTTTCTTTTAGATAAGGGTTCAACTCTATTCATCCTATCGCTCATTCAATACCACATATAAATTCAAAGCATTTATGCTAAACATACCATAATGGAAAAACAAACCTACCGCTCAAATAATCTGTGATAAATGTGTGGAGGTGACCGCGGGCAAATTCAGCACTTGGTTGTCTGTCAAGTAAAGTTCGAATTGGTCCATGAAACATTGCGAAAAGTGAATGAGATTCTTTTAGTATTCCTTGCAATGCACTAAAGCGCAAAGTTGATTCATTGTCCTTAATTTTCTGCACCACCTAAAAATATTAAATCGCACGTTAGCAATTTGAGCAGTAAAGAAAGGAAATAATCATCCAAGTTATTGACGTGCAAAGGATGTAAGTCCAAATTTGCAAGGATAAGTGTGTGCTGTATTCATCAACAAAAATCAACTGTCCACCATAAATGTTGGCATTAGACTTTGGAACATGCAAAAATGCTTAACTACGTTTAGTCTACATTTGCAGGGCTCCTTTGATTTAAAGGATTATATAAATTTTGGAGGATTATACTCCCTAGGAATATTTCTATGTGGATTGTTTGATTGTTGGGATTTAATCCTATAGGAATTTTTTCGTAAGGATTACTTTGTACATCTCATAGGCAAGGAATCCTTTGTTTTTCCCTGTCTTGCAACCAAACAAACTTTTGTGCAAACACCATCATGTATGATTCAAATGGGCATGGCAGTACAATTCTGAATTTTTCATATTTCTGTGTTTTCGGAATCCTGTGAATCAAAGAGGCCCTCATTGCTGTACAATTAATTATTAACTTTTGCATCGTACTGGTAGATAGAAGGAACAATTTAGTTGAGATGCATATATAATTGATAAGGAAGCAGTTCGCTCAAACAACGTTGAACTAGCAACTAAATGTAAAGCCATACTTCATCACAACCAAAGATTACAGGACCCAAATGGCAACTATAATGTAGTGAACAGTTATTACCAGAACCATCCAAATATCTGGCTCAGCTTGGTAAAAAACATGGCAGTGTTTATCAGATTCTATCACCTCACAGTCATCTTCTGGAGAAAATATTCTGCACATAACGCAAAGAAGTAACACAGAAAGATGAAATGGCTGAACATAGCAAAACAAAGCAAGAAATGAAGTAGCAATAAAGGATTATAATTGGTTGCAGAACTTTTGGGGATGTAAAGCAACCAAACAAAAAAGATTGCTGCCTACAAAGTGCTATAATCTTCAGGTCTTCTATGACTCCATGTTAGTCTCTATTAATAGATGTTTATGATTTTCCGGAGATCTAGATGAATATGT